CGCACGCACACACACACACACACACAAAAGTGTATGTACATGTAAATAATGACTGTATCACCTCGCTTGGATAAATAGAATTATATTTAATAGAAAAGTTCAGATTTGCTATTTTCACAATAATTACATAGTATTTATTTATACACATCCGTGAATGAGCGAAGGAATCGTCTAATTTACGCAAAGGAATAGCCTAACAAACGTTTCCAGTTGCACTCGGCAAGAATACATTTATATTTGAATATATGATGAAGAAACGTGTCCGCTTATGACGCACATCTCCAAACATATTGCATTACTACTGTTGATAAATGTCGCTATGTCACTGAATTTGTATATCAATGATTTTTCAGATAGATTTTGCGCACCTGCCGATGTAAACGATGCTACGTGCATATCTTTGCAACGAGGAGATAGTAAAGTGTCATGTGTGCATGTGGCGGATAGTGCCGAATGTGCTATTCGTATAGCTGAAGGCGAGGCTGACTTCGGTATTTTTAATGCAGAAGAATTATTGCTGGCTGTTCAATTTTATCCAACTGTCCTTCAACCCATTTTGCAACTAAGGCACAAGGAAATGCAGACAGGTAGTCACCTGCGGAAACTTTAAAGAGAATTTAAATAAAAATATTAGTTGTAGTGATGCCTTCAGACATAGACAGCTGAAGTTGAATTTGATTAATAATAAATACAACAATTAGAGTCAGCAATAAATAAAAAATAACTAGGAAACAACGCGATAAAAGATTTTATTAGATTAAAAAATCAATAATTCCAAGTGAAACAATTACAATATTACATAATGAATAAATTAAAATATATTTCTTAAATTTTTACTTCTTTGTAACTACTAATTATTATCATCATTTTCTATCATTATTTTTTTTAAATTGATTGAAAACAAAAGCTCCAAATTATTTTTTTAGTAAGGATTAAACAAATTACATAACATTTCTTATATTAAACTAAATCATAAGTTTAATTATGTTAGTGCATATCTTAATAAAAAAATAAAATGTGTAAATGTATAATCTAACTTCCACAGAGGAATTTGAATTTCAAACGGTAGCAGTAATTCCTGCAGACTTGACGGGAATGGAAACCGCTCCTGGCGAGCGTCTTAAGCGTTTGAGAAATGCTGGTTTGTGTCATCCTGGTTTTAGCGAATCTCAATGGTGGACTGATTATATTCTCAAGCATTTTGAAAATACAGTAAATCCTCTGCAATGCCAAGATAATGTAACCGTTATCGAGAGCGAGCTTAGAAATCTCAGAGACTTTTTTGGAAAAGCTTGTAGACCAGGCGAATGGGTCGCTGACCCATCCTACGATCGAGAACTAAGTAAGTTGATTCATATTAAGATATAAATTTATTTTTTTATATCACCTATTAAATTTCCACTTAAAAAAATAGAATCTAATTAAATCTAAAGACGGTTACTATTTTAAAGATCTAACAGTAAATTCAAACAACATAATTGTTGGTTTCAAGCAATACTATTAGATACAAAAATTTGTCTTTACAGTAATGTAAACTTAATATTAAATTCTTCCTATAATAAAATTCTAATATAATTATAATCTAACATGTCTGAAATAATAATGGCTGATTGCATAATTCATTAACTAATGCTTTGTTAACTATTTTCAAACGTTAATATGTGGTTAATATAAATTATTTATTTATTTTTCAGAAAGCAAATATCCAGAGTTATGCGCTCTTTGCGACGACACAGTAAATTGCCGTTATAGCAACAGACATCATCATGGACATTACGGAGCTTTGCAATGTCTAACTCGTGGCTATGGTAAAGTGGCATACGTAGCACTTAAGTACGTTCAAGAATATCTTAAAGTAAGTTCGTATTTATTTAAGAAACAGTTATAATCGCATGATTGCTATATCTGCAATCATTTTCTATATATCTTCATTATCTTTATGTATACGTTTATTGGATAAAATTATATTAATTATTTTTTGTGTGTTTCAGACGAATGAATCATTCCAGTTTCTATGCCCAAGTGGTACTGTCGAATCTTTATCTAGTAATTCACCTTGCGCATGGCTTCAACAACCCTGGAGTGTCATTGTAGCTAGAAAGTAAGTAATAATGTTCAATGATTCAATTTTCTTTTGTAATCTTTATAATAAATTAAAAGAAATATT